TACAGTATCAGGCGCTGTGTCTACGCGGTCTCTCCCACGCCCCCCTCCGCCCCTGTCTAGGGGCCAGCAGCCCCCCCTCCTGATTAGAGTTTGCACCGCGCCCTTGCTGAGGCATGTCTGGGGACGGCCGCCAACGAGATGTGCAACGTCAGCGCAGCATGGATATTCTTGTCTCGCGCATGGGCGAAGGTCGCGGCGACGGCGGCGCAGCAAGTAGCAGTCAATGCTGGCACAGAGCTCAAGGAGGCCGGCGCCCGCGGGCGCAATATGCCACCTCGTTGGGAGGATGCCGCGCACCAGCTCCACGACGAGGCGACGACCGAGCTGATCGCTGAAGGTTGGCAGCGGCTGGTCAATAGTTTGCCGGCGATCATGCAACTGCATCGCGGCACAACCAACCTTGAAGCGCACGCGAGCGAGATCGACAGTTTCCTGACCATTCAGTATCATTGGCATGGCTTGCATGGACGGCTCGACGGCACTGTCAAGCAGGCGCGCGACATCGTCTGCAGAATTCCTATGGTCATTGATGCGATCTCCGAGCTCCCAGTTCGTTGAGGAGGTCAGCGAGGATGTCGAGGCCGCTGTTAAAGGGATGAACAAGGAATCCACGGCCATGGAGTGCAGAGCCCTGCCGCGTCTGATTGTCCTGTAAGGATCGTCGAGATGGAGGCGGCCATGCACAAGATGCTCTGGAAGGCAAGCGAGCAGGAGCCGCTTGCCCGGGCGACCGATCGCCCCACGCGCCCAGCCCTGGAGCCCGAGGCGATCAGAACGGTTGTCGGGATTTCTCGGCGGGCACCCCTGCCAGATTCGCCCGCTTCCACCCTGGGCGCGCGCTCATGCTGGACGACAGCGGGTTGGAGGTGCCAAGCTTGACTTGGGAACGCTCAGAGGCGACCGGCCCGTTCCCGAAGCAGGCGCTGGATTCAGATGCCCATGCTTGGAAAATCTTCAGGAGGCAACGGATTGATCTTCCGCTACTCAGGCACGCACATGATATAGCAACGAGCCCGTAGATGGATGGTAGCAGGACCCAGCCAGCAGCTATCCCGAAGGTATTGGGGCGCTGCTAAAGGGCGCTCGGTGGTCGACTGCGCCCAGCTCCAGGCTGCGCGGGCTGAGTTTGATCATGCACGTCAACGACATCATCTCATGTGGGCCATAGACTGGCCCAAGTACTACGAGTCGATCCCGCTCGACTTTCTCCGCGCGAAGCTCCTGGAGGTCGGCGTTCCAGCGTGCTGGCTAAAGCATGAAAGCCGCGGTTCGGTCCGGTCTGGTTCGGTTCGATGTGCGACTGGTTCGGTTCGACCGGTTCCGGCTCGCGTCGCAAACCGGTTCGGTTCGACGGGTTCGGTTCTTTGTCGTAGACCGGTTCGGTTCGACCGGTTCGGTTCGGCTGGTTCGGTTCGACCGGTTCGGTTTTAAGTGTTCCGACCGGTCCGGTTCGGCCGGTTCGGTTCGGTTGGTTCGGCCAGTTCGAACTTATGCAGAGGCGATTTCAGTCAGCGCGATTTCGATTCGTTTCGATTCCAGGGCAGCGATGGTCAGAATGCACCCCTGGGCAGGTCCGGGGACCAGCGGTATCGGTACCTTGCGCTCTCCCCCGGGCAGTCCGGGGCGGCGTTAACATCGCCACGACGACGGACGGGGGACCACGACGACGGACGGGGGTCCGGACCAGGGGGGGTCCGGACCGGGGGGGCTCCGGACCGGGAGGGGTCTGGACCGGGGGGGGCCCGGACCGCGGGGACTTCCGAGCCGGGGGGGGTCCGGACCAGGGGGGGTCCGGAGGGGGTCCCGACCAGGGGGGGGGGGGGGTCCGGACCGGGGGGGGGGACCGGGGGGGGTCGGACCGGGGGGGGGGGGGGTCCGGACCGGACCGGGGGGGTCCGGACCGGACCGAGGGGGGTCCAGACCGGGGGGGTCCGGACCGGGGGGGGTCCGGGGGGGGGTCGGACCGGACCGGGGGGGGTCCGGACCAGGGGGGGTCCGGACCGGGGGGGGTCCGGACCTGGGGGGTCCGGACCGGAGGGCTCTTAATTTTGGGTCGGGGGGACGTGCGGTTGACTGCTGGCGGGGTGGTCCCTCGGGACCCGGGTACCCCGGAGGCGGCCCCCTGCCCTCGCGCGGGGGGGCCGCAAAGAGGCCCGCCTTCCAGCGGTCCGCCAGGTTCGCCCCGCCCCCCGCGTTCAAGCTTGCGGTCTTTCAAGGTTCGAGCGGGTCCTGGGGTCCTGACTTGCACTCCGGTTCGGCCGGTTCGGTTCCGCCCGTCCGGTCCGGTTCGGCTGGTTCGGTACCGTCTTGTTGGCCGGTTCGGTTCGGCCGGTCCGGTTTCCGCCGGTTCGGTTCGGCTGGCTCGGTTCGCACAGCGGGCCGGTTCGGTTCGGCCGGTTCGGTTTGGCGTCGACGAGGCCGCAGGTGCTAGGAGATGCGCAGTAGGCGCGAGGCCCAAGCAGGCCGAACGATTTCGTGGCATGAGGCTGAGGATGCGCATGGTCAAGTTTTACCAGAAACGGTTTAAGGGCAAGAAAGAAGTCCCGTTTCCAAGATCTCCCGCGCTGGAGCGCCTCCAGCGAGTAGTTGCGGAACCGAGGTCCTACGCCTTAGTCGGGCCTGGCGGGGCGCCCACCGGCGGATTCGCATTGCTGATGCCCCTTCTCACGGAGGGGTTGCTTTTCACAGCGAAGCTTGTCTTGTTGGGAGACAAGAGTTTTCGTTTAGCGGTGGCCCCTGCGATTCGCTGGCGCAGGTTAGATAGCAAGGCTGAACTCGCTGGGCTCTGGGTTTCGGCCCAGCCTCTCGAGGGCGGCCCTTGGAGCCCCCCCCGCGGCCCTATGCGTCGAGCAGCACAAGTGCTCCAGACGGCGGGTTGGGAGGTCCTTAGGCACACTTGAGTGGCGCGATCATAACGGCTTAACGGTTCAGATTGAGCAGACTCCGCCAGCCTTTTTAGCCGATATGTCGCTAAATCACCCCCCCCCTGGGCACAGGGCCACCCTGGACCTCCTACGGCGCCCAGCGGGGCCAAAAGCCAGGGGTCTGGGGGGGCACGCTAAGCGTTGAATCAAGTGCTGTGGGCGCAATGGAGCGTGGACCAATGGGAGAGGTCTCCTGCCGGGGTGCGCTACTGACGGTTTGCGCGAGCGCGGGCAGGTCGAGACATTCCGCCACAGGCTCTAGATTTGCACGCACGAAGATATAAAGCTTGCGCGAGAAGAGTTGGGAGCCACGCCTGAACATACCCACGCAGCACTCGATGGCCCTGATCTGGAGATTTTTATCCGAGGCATGTTGGGGCATCCAGATTTGGAGCTGCCTAAGCCGAGCACGTCGACCGAAGCCGAATGGTTCGACGTTGCAGGCGAAACGCTCGATCTGCACCCTGAAGCGATTGCAGATTTATCAAAAACGATCAGGTGCTCCGTCTCGGCTCAGATGGCTCCTGCCCCAAGCGCCCTCTCCGCGCGCCTCAGAGAGCGGCGCGGGCGATTGGCGCGCCCCCAGCTAGAGGAGAAGATCCTGAGCCTGCGGCAGCGACGCGCGGCGTGGCCCACGGCACGCTTCCTCAGACGCCTGCTATGTCTGAGCACGTCGGTATTGCGCTGCGCGGACAGGTGGCCAACAGACCATCGGTGCTCGGCGCTGATTTTCTGCCCGCGATTAAAATCACACAGCGTAGCGTGAGCCAGCAGCTTGCAGCTTCGCCCAAGCGTGCGGGGATTCGGCTTCTCGCTGACAGTCTCGAGGGCACTCCCAGGAGATCGGGCATGTGAAGGCCCATCGCCCCCAGGAGGCCATAGACGCTTTGCCCACAGCTGAGAGAGAGTTTGCTGTCGGCAATTCGGCGGTGGATCATCATGCGAAGAAGGCTCTCATGAGGCATGGAGGCGCGGATCCTGTTTCCCCGTCCTCCGTCAACCTCGCCCCCGAAAGAGCTTCGAATTTCACGAAGATTGTTGTTGCTGCGCTTCCACTGCATTAGAATGAGCTCAGGCGGCCTCGTCCCTCTCGCGCCCCGAGGCGTGGGAGGTCCAGATTGAAAGTAGGATGGCACCAGAGGGAAGATGGACCTGCTCGAGTTCGCTGCAGGCGTTGCCTGCTTCGTGGCGGGGCCTCTCGCGACCAGTTAGATCTGACAGGTGGCTGCGGAGCCCCCCCCCCCGCATCGAAAAGCTCCCCAGGGACCCCCAGGGGCACCTCGTCGTGGCGGCGGATCTCGATCGGAATCCTGCCTCGGTTGACGTGGTGCGCGCGGTCCCTGAGAAGCACACCTACGTGCGTTTAAGATGTGGGGGGTGGTCCCAGGGCCGTGCTTGAAAGTTGGCTGGCCCCATGTCCGCCTCCCACCGAGAAGGGTCGGGAGGTCATCCACCGCTTCCGACAGGGAAAACCTCCGAACCGCAAGTGCCAAGCGTTTCTTGGCTGCACCGTTCCCCTTGTCAGGCCAGCCCTGAGGAGGGCGTCGGTGTTTCCCCGTTCCGAGAGCAGTCCTCTGTCAGATTCTACGGTGGTGAATATTCCATCGGTGGCAGGGGCAGCCCCTTCCTATGAGCTGTGCATGGCAGTTCTGGTGGAGAGAGTTCGTGATAAAGAGGTCTCGCGTAGAGACCAGTCATGTGAGCGTCGAGCTCAATATCTGGTGCTGCGCACTCTCCCCGCCAGGGCATTCCATTCCATCCCATTCAAGTCCATTCCTCCTCCTAGTCTATAATCATCCTCCTGCTCCTCTTCCTCCTCCTCCTTCTCTTCCTCCTCCATCTCCTCCTCCCCCTCCTCCTCCTCCTCCTCCTCCCCCTCCTCCTCCTCCTCATCATCATCATCATCATCCTCCTCCTCCTCCTCCCCCTCCCCCTACTCCTCCTCTTCATCCTCCTCCTCCTCCTCCTCCTCCTCCTCCTCCTCCTCCTCCTCCTCCTCCTCCTCCTCCTCCTCCTCCTCCTCCTCCTCCTCCTCCTCCCTCCTTTTTCCCTGTGTTTTCTCTCCTCATGCGGCAG